GCCGGGTCCAGACAGGGTGAAGCAGCAGGCTGGTAAGCAGAATGAACCACAGTGGCAGTGCAAACAGACCACAGCCAGACCACATCACAACCACACAGCATCCTGCCATTTACAGAGCTGCATATGGCTGTGTGCAGGGAGGGAGAGGAAGGAGGAGGGAAGGAAAAGCAGCAAAGAAGAAGACAGAAAGTCATATAAAAAAAAAAACAAAGGAAGAAGAGTGATGGCAGGAAGGACAGGTGTGATGGCAGTGTCAAAGGACGAAGGAAGAAAAGTGGAGCAGGAAGGACAGGAGTAAGAGTCAGGGAGGAAGGACGACAGGAGGAGAGTTAGCAAGAGGAATGAAGTCCTGTTAAGAAGGCAGGAACAGACTGTCAGCGGAGGAAAAAAGAGCAGAAACACAGAGGCGAAGGAAGAAGACATTTATAGGGACTACAAAGCCAGTTTGAGCAATTTCTCCGTCCTCGTCCTGTCTGCGTAAAGCCCGCTATATTTACCGACAGCCGAGCAACGTCACCATGGAGAAACAATTTCCCTTAATAACCACCTGCATGCAATCCTTAACGTTTTATTGCACGGGTAACCTGTGTTACCTGGCAGCACACCGACGCTCCCTTTCAGATCCACTCTCGCATTCAAAGAGACAAAGATGCTGAAAAATCAGAAATGAGTGGTTTAAATGAGCCTCTCACCGTCACTCATCGCTGTGGATCTGCAGCTGTAAAGAGACAAGAGTGCAGAAGAATTCCAAGGTGAGAATGTAACTGGATACATTTGTTTCCATCCTGATGCAACTACAAAGGGATTTTTGTGCCTCCTCCTGGGATCAAACCGGGGATCTTTCACTTTTTAAGACAAATGTAACTATTTTAATTATTTTGTCAAAGAAATGGAATTTAATTCCATTTGGTTTCTTTTTGATAACTCTTACATCAAATGCTTTAAAGCATGCAATAAAGCAGAAAGGATATCTAGAGGCGGCAGATGTTTCCTTAAGTAGAGATGACGCATTACTTTGCACAGTTTGTTGGAGCCTTTCTCAGATTTCAGGAGGAAAGTAGTGTGGAATTTCCAGCACTGAAAGGCGTTCTTGTTTGATGATAACACGTGGTCGACTGGCTGCAGGCACGGCAAATTCAAGCTAGAGAAGCGATCGTATTTGATGTGTAAAATGTGAGCACAATTTACCAAATGAATGGGCTCTAAGTGAATGGACTAAAGAGAGCTCCAACATTCCTGCACTCGTGGCGTTACCTCATATTTGCTTTGGTGACACACGTTGCCCTGAGATGGAAGAGGAAGAAGGATGCCCCCTCCTCCCAGACCTTCACAGATTTTCCTTTAAAAAAAACTCCAGGGGAAAGATCAACTTTATGACAGGAATTTCAGCTCCCAAATATCTTTATATTTTCTCAAATAAATAAATAAAT